GAAGTTGTCGGAAAGGCATCATGAAAGAGTTGAAACTTTAGCTGATCCTTAAAAGAGGAATTTGAATTAAACAGGAGAGCAAATACTGCCAGTTACCGAACTGCTAGAGCAAAGATTTGCATGTATTCCAAGGACCATAAGGCAGGCTGTGGCCATCAGAAACTAGGTTTGATAGTGTATCAACTGTAGACAGTTCTGAGCACCAGGCAGGGCACTGACTCAGCTGTGTTAAGCATTCATGTGTGGAAAAGGAACCTGATAGAAGTAGCAGTTCAGAAAGATTTCCTTGGGTAGGTTCGTTAGTATCACACAAATGCACAAAAGTTTGCCTACAGCTTTAAGGAATTCCTCTGAAGGCCGGGTGAAGAATCCTTCAACTAGAGACCAGGGGCCCAGATGAAGAGTTGCTGAAATAGTTATTGAAAATGAAATCTAGAGCTAAGGTGAAAGCCAAAGATGGTAGCAATGGAGGTAGAGACAGGCATTTTTATTTTTATTTTATTTTTATTTTTTGAGACGGAGTTTCCCTTTTGTTACCCAGGCTGGAGTGCAATGGCGCGATCTCGGCTCACCGCAACCTCCGCCTCCTGAGTTCAGGCAATTCTCCTGCCTCAGCCGCCTGAGTAGCTGGGATTACAGGCACGCGCCACCATGCCCTGCTCATTTTTTGTATTTTTAGTAGAGACGGGGTTTCACCATGTTGACCAGGTTGGTCTCGATCTCTCGACCTTGTGATCCACCCGCCTCGGCCTCCCAAAGTGCCGGGATTACAGGCTTGAGCCACCGCGCCCGGTGAGACAGGCATTTTTGAAGAAAAATGAACAAGATTTGTTATCTCATTGGATATGATGGAAGAAGGAGGGGGGATGATGGAAGATGACAATTTTGTAGATTAAAAAATGGTTATGCCAATGACTGAATTGGTCATAGGGACTAGTTCTGTTTGTGCTTACTAGTCTTACATGCCTGTATTCATAATTGAAAGCCCTAGAGAAAAAGGAATAAGTCAAAAAGCTCAAAGTGCCTCAACATCCAAATAAAAAAAAGTTTCAGAACTCTGGGCTCAAAGAGAGCTACATGTTCAATTGAGCTCTGTGAGACAAGGCAAAATGCCTTCCTCATAATATCTTAAGCCAGGAATATGTTCTTTGAATTTACAACTTCTTAAAATAGGAGTCAATAAAGAAAAAAATGCAGCAAGTGTTTGCAAGTTAACTGGGGAGAAAGAATTTTTTTCTCCGAACACCACATTTCAGTTCTGTCTATTGACACTAATTTTAATATGAGCATATACAAACTTGTAACCCGAAGAGGTGATTCTGTTATCCTTTATGTAAGTTAACTCATATATGCTTAAATTTGTTATTTTTATGTAAAGCAATATTTTAATCAAGAAACTATAAAACAAACTGACTCTAAAGTTGGTCTGTACCTGATTTTCTTATAATCTATAATCAGGAAATCGATTCACTGCTGCTTTATAATTTTTGTGCCTTTAAGTGGTCAGAGGAATGTGACATCTGCCTATGGTCACGTCTAAATTGATAATTGTCCAGGCGGAGAGTAATTTTAAAACATAGCATGAAAAAAGGTTGAATCTGTATATTAGAAGGTTGTTGAGAGGTGGTGTTTCCCACCTCCCGGACCCCTGAATTTAAATGCGACCATTCTCTTTGGTGAATTTATCGTAAGGTGGGACAGCAGGCTCGACACTGGCCGCGGCGTTCTGAGTGAGGAGGAGGCTGTGGTTCCCCAGCCGGTTTAAATGCAGGCTCTTCTTAGCAGTAAACCACACGCATGTATTCATCATTGATTTTCAAATGATAGGTTTCTATATCACTGGTTTAGGATCCACAGTCTTGCATTCCTGAATCTATATTATGCCCAAAGAATAACAATTTGGTGGCTGGAAACAGAAATGGTTATTATACGGCTCCAAAATGCTAGTTGGCACAGTATGCTAAAAACAGCAGAAATTCACTAGCAAAAGGCAGAATTTATTTGTTCTTTAAAATAACTTTATCTCTAAAAATATGAATTTAACAAGTGTCATCATGGTTCAAAATATTTTACATTTCAATATGTAAACACCTTAAAAATATGTGACTAATCTTCTAAAATGGCATCATTTCCAAATAACAGGAAATATTCCAAGAGAAAAATAGAAGGCTTTTAAAATCAATTTTTTAGTTTTGAGGTATTTATTGAATGAAAAACTATAATGTATGTTTACTTTGTTTTTCCCGACTGCTGCCCTGAATCACTATTTAAAATGTGGGCAAAAAGACATAAGCTTTGTCGGAATTTCTCAGAGAGTTTACTGTAGAAAATGCTAGAAAAAAAAATAACAAAAAAAAAAAAAAAAAACTTTTCTCAGCGCCTCTGTGAAGCATTTCCATTTTCGCACACTGGCCCAGTGCTCGTCATATCACAGGACAACACATTTCACAAAGCGGTTTTACTTCCTTTTAGCAAAATAACTCCTCCATGCAGACCAGTATCGGCATCTACCGAGCTGGGGTTTTAGTTTCTTCTGATCTATTCAAGCTTCATTGCACTGCTTAACTGACATTTTTTTCCCCCTTCTTTTGAAATTACCCAGCTAATTTTCCATTTGATTGTTTATATAAACCAGATCTCACACAGGCTTACTAGATAAGTGACATATGTCTTCAGTGTGTCTGTCCATCTGACCTTCAGCTGACAGGAAAGTATAGTGCAGATTTTGCCTTGATGTTCTCATTCCCTTTTTATCCAGTAGAATCTATTAATTCAAACTAAGTTCATAACATATTCACGATGACTCAGGATGACATATTAAATATCAAACTCCTTTTTGTCAAGCATTTCTCTTTAAAGTGAACATACTCTCTTTTGTTTGTTTTCTCTTCACTGAGAAAAGGTAAAATGCATTGTTTCATGTAACAGCTTTTGCCACAGAGTACTGTCCGAATTTACCGTCAAGAAAATTTTGGCTTTTGTAACATTTATCTAGCTTTAGAGAATTTGGCTAATTTTCCAGAAGTTTTATTATAGAAGGGAATTTATATTCAGATTCAACCAACATTTCTAAAGTGACTCCCGTGTGCTCAATACATGTTTTGGGGGTGTCCAGTTGTTTTTTTTTTTTAACGCCGGGAGCTAGAATAGGTTTATTTATGATCCAATTGACAGACTTACCTTGTAGTTATTTGTTATATACACAGCCTGTTTATTCATGCATGCAATGAGACAGGTTAATGAATGGAATATGAAGAACAAATGTGCTTTATGCAATGTGCCTCAAATATATTTTGCTTCTAAAGATGTTCCCATAAATATCTCCTGAAATATACCCTTTGCTCTGCCTTCCCTGTTCCTCATGGCCTCTAACTCAGGCCGTCCAGGTGGTCTCCAGACAGGTCTACCCTAGCAGGCCTTACTAATTCCTGAGTATAGCAATGCCAGTAGATCTTTCTGACCACTTAGAGGTGTGTCATACCTCTCCTCTGAAACTTTCATTTCCGCCATATAAACCCAAGGCATTTCAGCCTGCAATTCAAGATCTCCACAGCCCCACCTCTGCATGCCTCCAGAGTCTCTGACACCCCTCTCTTTTCTGGGACCCCTTCTAAACAGGTTCCTCTCCGTGCTCCTTACCATGCTCTGTAAATTCCGACCTCAGCCCTTTCCTATCGCCCAGTCACAAGCCTGGAATATCTTCCTAGGGCCTTTCTTTCTTCAAGGCCCTCAATTCCCGCCTCTTCCGTGAATCTTTTATGGGATAACCTCTTCTCTCTTGGAAACTCAGTAACACTCAATCTGGATTACTCTGCAGGCACCTCACCGTACACTGCCTTGTACTGGTCTTTATGTCTTCCATGAGCATATATTGGATCACCACAAAGAGATTTCAGAGCTTTTCAAAGTGCGTCCTCACTGGTAGCATACAATCTCATTCATGCAGGGGTAATAGATACTTGTGTTTTGTAATGATGACAATAACAAAGAGGTTTGACTGTCTGCTTTAGAAAGTGTCAGAAAACAACTGTCTAGTTTCTAGCAAGAATTGTAGAATCAGGTAGTTGGTTTCTCTTATTCTCCCATCAGAGGCAGTGGAGGAAGTCAGCAGATGTCTCACTGAGTCCGCTCTTGTGCCAGCTCTGCTGGCATTTGTAATCAGCTCTTCCCTAGCACTCTTGGTCATATTTTGAAATATGAAAAACGGATACCTTGGGATATCCACTTCTCTGTTAGCAGGGTGCTGAATATCAGAGACCTAAGGAAACCCTTTCAGTCTTCCGGTTTAATGGTTATTCCTGTCCCTTGGTGAATCAGCACTTTAGTAGAGGCATCATCACTTCGTTTCAGCTCCAGGGAAGGAGTCTTGCTTTCTGAAGTTCTTTGTGAGCAGGAAAGCAAGTCTTCAGGGTTATACACTGAACTTAGAGAAGAGGGCAAACCAGATGGAAGAAAAACCATGGAGAGAATTCACTCAGAGAAAAGCGGAACAGAACAGCAAAATGTGTAAGCGGCTTCCCCTCCTCCTGCATGTCCTAGAAATTACAGTCTTGCTAGTATGCCCTTTCTTCATCTAAGGACACAGACACACAAAATAAAACCCAAACCAATGAACTGAAAGAGTGAGTCACCCCAGCCAGGCCTCCACCAAGCTAGTCAATTAAAGTACAGGACCAGTCCTGTGCTTTTCTTAGACCCTGAACTACTGTCTGACTTTCTTCCTGAATATTTTTGACAGGAAAAAAAAAAGTATATCCTGATTTCTGAGCAAGATAATGTGTATTGGCTCTCTTCTCATAAAAAGTTTTCAATCTTCCTTCAGAGGACTGTTAAATAATTAATTGGGTTACTCGTCCCATGGAGGTTAAATCAGTCATCCTTTGGCTTTGCAATGTATGTCTTACCATTAAGCTCTTGTTTTTATTCTCATGTTGTGTATTCTTCAGAAACATATTTGACCTAGATTTCTTCCTGAGTGCTTTATTGTTTTCTGTTAACAGGGAATGGGTATGGCAATCCCCGAAACTCACCAGGTCTGCTGGTCTCACCTGGTAACTTGAACAAGAATATGCAAGCAAAATCTCCTCCCCCAATGAATTTAGGAATGAATAACCGTAAACCAGATCTCCGAGTTCTTATTCCACCAGGCAGCAAGAACACGATGCCATCAGTGGTAATACAAAACTACATTTTAAATAAATATTGATAATGTTTTGTATATGTTCTGTTGTTTTTGTGTTTGTCTAACTTGATGAATTACTTACATTCTCCCAGAAAATTAACACATCAGTGGCACTGACAGAGCCTTGTTTGTATTTAGCTATTATTTCTGGTAACTAGTTTGCATTTCCCTTTTCTGTGTTTAAAAGCAAACAAAAAAACATCTAGTGATCTTCACTAGGTTGGTGTTCTGGGACAAGAAAAACATTTTCTTTTAAGGCTTTCTATTTATAGTTGGAAAAAAATCAGACACCACCATCGGTCAATCTTTGCGTCCCATAAGCAAAGTAATAATAGGTAATGAGGTACTTCATAAATAATATTTTTACAATATTTATGTCCTCAACTTGCTGACAGTGAGAAAATACTTTCCGTAATTTCTAAATGAACTTTCTCCTGTTAATTAGTAACTCCTTTCTTAGATGTATTGCAACGATAACTGATAAATCACACGCCTGTGCACTGCCTCAGTTCATCTTTCTACATATGTACTTCATGAAAATAACTATCTCTCAAAAGCAAATTGTGTTAAAATTCTAGGCATTTTAAGAACAAAGGTTATATTTTACATTAAGAAAATTGTAACATGTCTAAGAAAAATAACAAGAAATTTTAAATAGAGATTACATCTCCAGAGCCTACTAAGATGAAGATAATATTGTGGGGCCAAATTCAACAACAAAGAGACTTAAATCCGTGTTCTACAAATTAGCTTTGCTAAAGAGCAAGAACATTTAAAACTAAGATTCAGTAGACAAATTTAGATCATTCTGCACACACATTTCTTTCTTTCTTTTTTTTTTCTCTGCTCTGTGGCAAGCTTCAGGGTAAAACAGTCCTGCGAGCTGATTAGCTTATTATGGCACAGTGCAGATTAATTCTGAATATCAACCAAAAAAAATCACATAATATGCAACATTCCCTTCAGTAAAAACTGGGTCTGATAAATATAACCTTCTACAGGGCAACAGCCAAGCAGTGTGGGCCGCACATGGCCGGCCACCTCTATCAACAGATTTATTCCAGGTCCCTTAAAACTGCTGCTGTCCCAGGGAATCTGTGCTGGGTCAGTTAGGTCCCTCTCTGGCAGTGAGGTGTAGCTCCCCGTCCTCCAGCAAGTGGGGTTTCAAAGTACAGTCTTTTTTTTTTTTTTTCAAAATGGGGTGATGAAATAATGAACATTGAGACACTGACCTGGGCAGAAAACTGGATAGATTGTCTTCACATTTGAGACAAACAGCTCATTAAGGGAAACAAAGAATGTCTTTGTAAGGATTTATCTTTGGAGTCTGGGTTTTAAAACTGTTTAAACTGTTGTGTCTATCGGAAGATGCTTTTCCTTTTGTTGAAAAGATTTTGCCCAATTATAAATATTTATGGACACTAATTAATAAAACTCCTTCCGCATGCTCTCAGTCTGAGGATGTCGACCTGCTTTTGGTAAGTGGTGAGACCGCGTCCCTTAAATGGCATGTGCAAAACTACTTATAAGTAGAGGTGGTAGCTTTGATGCAATTGAAAGATATTGGCAATAAGTCATCACAGTATGTCACCATTGATTATGTTTAAATACCATTAATTTCTGGTATCACTCACAGGTGAAAAGAATGTCAGGTTTTTTTTTTATGTTTCAATATTTTTTCTATTTTCAATATTTTAGGACAATTTATCGTAAAATTCAAACACACAAAAAAATTCTTTTATTATATAAAACTAAAATATTTCCTCTAGGAATTAAATTCTCATGATTTTATGTGATGGATCCTTTATCTCTTTACTATAAGGAGTTAAATATTCGCATTAGCTGCTTTGCCATCTAGTTTGAGGGAAGTTTAGAAGAATCTGAACAAAGTGGTCAGAGCACCACCTGCTGGTCAGAATATAACATGAGCCTCTACTTAATTGCTCTCTGCTGCATGTAGAACTGAACATGGAAACTACCACGGTTGATTTTAATTTTTTTAAAAATTTGCATTTGAATAAAAACTGAAACAATGGAAGTACAGTATACATATTTCATCAGTTTTCAACATAGTCTGTTTTTACCCATAATAAAGCTATGGTACTTGTTACTAGTTCAGTTGCCTAGGAGATACTGATGTAATGGGTTACTATGGCAACAGCTGGTCTCTTGAAGGATTGTAAATGATAGGGTTGGCAGAGTTCATAGAGACACATGTTAAATGATTAATTTCATGAGATTTGTACCAAGTGATCTCTCTATGTGTAAAACTAATGCTGAAATCTAATATTTTTAACTTTTAAAAAAATTCCGTCAGTAATGTCTTTTTATTTACTTTAAAAGAATCAAAGGATAAATAACTCCCAGTCGGCTCAGTCATTGGCTACCCCAGTGGTTTCCGTAGCAACTCCTACTTTACCAGGACAAGGAATGGGAGGATATCCATCAGCCATTTCAACAACATATGGTACCGGTGAGTAACTTTGTCATGTGCAATTAGTACACTAAATAGTTTTCATTGAAAAGCAAGATTAAAAAGTTATCTTTTACTCTATTAGGAAGCTTTATTTAGTATTTGCGCTGTCCACAGCACTGCCACATTACCCATTCCTTACTAAGGCAAAGTGAATATCCACGTTTTTCTTTCTTAATTGACTGAAAGTTTTATTTACCCAACCTGAGTTCAAAATACGGAACAATTTCAAGAAAATTGAGCTATTTCTTTGATGTGATAAAAAGCTCACTTTCTCAGGATTGTTTAACATTTCTGCATCATCAAATATATACATACTTTTATACTAGATTGTAGTTCTCATAAACTAGAATTGCAGCGTACGCTACTTCAAAGCATTCATGGAATAGTTATTTTTGGCTTACAGTATATTTCTTTTAAAATTATCACTGATGCTTTATCTCCCCCTCCCTAAAATTAAAAAAGTATAATAACAATAATCCTAATAGAATATTTAAGAAATTGAAAATGTTTGTTTATTTACCATTTGATGTTTTCTAAATTTAATATTTTCCCTTGTTGTTTTATTCTTTAATCTAGAGTACTCTCTGAGTAGTGCAGACCTGTCATCTCTGTCTGGGTTTAACACCGCCAGCGCTCTTCACCTTGGTTCAGTGACTGGCTGGCAACAGCAACACCTACATAACATGCCACCATCTGCCCTCAGTCAATTGGGGTAAGCAATACTATTTTTATAACATAATTTTAGAATACATTTTAAATAACAAATGGCAACCTCTAAATAGATGCTTTAGTATCCCATTCGCGGATATAAAATTCTACTTTATTGAAATCCAAGTATAATTTTCACATCAATACTTTTCAAGTAGCTTAAATCTTATATACTCATTTTTTAAGAGGACAGCGAGCTCTGTAATAATGAGGTAAATTCTTATTGTTTTAGACTACCTTTGTTTCCACTGCTATCAGTGATAGAATTTTTATTTAGTTTGCACACAGTTCATGTGGGACATAAGAAGGCATTTATAGTATAAGCTTAATTTTTGAGATATTTGAGAATCTTTCTCTTTTAAAATAAACCATATAGTTTATGCTAATGGTATCTCAATACACATAGGACCAACTAGTCAATTGATACACAGGCTTCATGTATTTATAATGTACTCATAGTATAGTTGTGTATTTACAGATATTGTAGGAAAACATATGTATATAATACTAATTAGTGCATATAATACTAATTACCTAAATATGGGTATAAAAATAATTTTTGTTTTATGAAGTCAGAGGATGTGTCTTTCTGCCCCCTTGTGGTAGTTTTAAGATATGTCTTTATCGTAGAAATTACTCCTGTTACTTACCTATGGAAACGTTCAAACCTTTAAAAGCTCTGAATTCACAATTCACACTACTTCATATAAAACAAACCATTTTTTTAAAAAAAGCTTAAAACATAAACTGAAATCCTGACTGTAAGTTTAATAACTCCAAAATTGCAATTAATCTTCAAAAGAAAATACCAGGAGAATATAAAATATTTAAAGATAACAAGCTTTTATATTTTAAAAACATTCCATATGCGTAGTCCACTTTTAGTTTTCTGCTGAGCCATCTGGTTACTGTTAATCAGTTAGCTGTATTAGTTATCTAGTTCTACATCCACATTTCTAAGGAGATAGTGAGAATGAAACACTGATTAGTATAAAAGTCACTGATTTATACCACAATTTTGTTTCTCTTACATCTGTTGGTGCTCTCTCTCTCCCCACCCACCAGCGTTCAGATGACACTGATTTAGCACATATTAGTGATCTGATTATGAAATATTCACCCATACACTGTTTGCTTATGTTCATCCTACTCACTAACCACTGTCATTGAAAATCTGACCTTTCAGTTAAATAGTAAGATAAATTCATATGACACTGTTGCTCTGCTTTCTTGAAAGATAGTTAACTTTGAAGATACATTACGTATTGATCAGCAACAGAGTTTTATCTTTTTAAGACACTTAAATTTTCTCTGGAATGTTAACTATTCAAGTAGACATTAATTATGGGAACTTTTTCAGGTAATTATCACCAAGCACATAATACGATCCAGGAAACTAAAAAATATGTACAGGTATACATATTTTGTACAAAATATCTACTGCTGTGGCTTAGCAGGGGATCCACTGAACATGATTCTTGTCAAAAATAAACATAACTGCTTATTTCTCCTTTTTTCACAAAATTCATCTATTAAAGGGCTAGATTTCCCTAAAAATTATCAGTGTCAAAAGCCGTATTATTTTCCCTGAATGTGGCTTTTTTTGTTTTCAGTAGTACCTGATAATTTACATTTTTACGTATAAACACATATTTATTTACATATTTTTAACTGTACCACAATTTTAAAACCTTTTCCTTTACAAAGGATAAATCTAATTCTCTGCTGCCCATAATAGAGGTTTCAGTAAATGAGAAAGGAATGACAGCCCTAGACTAGAAAGGAACTGAATTACAACAGCTAAAGATGAAGCATTTTGTTCAGCTGTTTCTTTCAACGCTGAATTTCGTTGTGCTTAATTTGACTCTTAGTTTTGTTTGTAAGTTTTAATTGCACTTAATCAGTTCCCTTACCCCTCAAATCAATGGAAAGACCCTTCCAGTCTGTCCACTGTTGGCCCTCCTTTCTCTCTGCTTCACACCCACACTTTCTCTCTCACAGTCACACACAGAGTAACTTTTTAAAAGGAGTTCCTTCACATGGACCACCTCATGTTCACACCATTAAATATTAAACAGTTTTGTTAAAAAAAAATCCCAAGTTGCAATACTTATGTAAAATAATTTACACGAGCATCCTTAATTCTTTACAGTGTAAATCAATTAAAAAAGAATGAATACATTTTCCCATCCAATTTCATAGATTTGTGTTGCGGACTCACATTCTTTTGGTTAGGAAGAATATTCATAGCAGAATGGAATACATTTCAGCTCCACCCAAGTAGATATCCCCAGCCGCCCAAGATGGTTACCACAATTCTTTCTCAAAATTGCAAAACTATAAATAGAATTTATATTTTGTCCATGGAAAAGAGTTCATTTTGTGCTTTGAAGCTTTAAGTCTTCAAAGCTATACTGTTAAAAACCACCTAGTATCTGATTCCACCTAACGAAGCTAAGTAAGCAGCACAAATTGATCTGCTGTAGGGAGAGAGATGGCTGACAGCAGAACTTGCCATCAAGAGTTAAAGAAAGTCCTTTGAACACTAATATTTGATTTAGTGTTACACTAAGTTTTAGTGTTTTTCTAAACTACCACCTATAAAAAAGGCAACCTGTTTTCTGGAAGCATTTCCATACGTCATCTTTGTTGACGTGGGTGTTCAGTACATACTGAGAGAGATAACTCTGAGTAGAGACGACTTATAAAAGGTTGGGTTAAATATAGTTTGATAGTCTAATTTCTAGGCGGAGGCAGTAAAAAACTTGAATAAAACTATCCAGTCATGTTTGATTTCTGAACAATTATGGGAAAGGGTAGGAGCTTTCCCAATTCAAAGGCATCTGTAATAGATGAAAATTTGCATAGAGGACTTGATATGGGCAGCTTGCATATCTGGCTTCCGTCTCCCCACCCTCCTCTTATCACCCGCCCACACACATGAATTATTTCACAATTATCCAGGTCTATAATTATTTATATCTATATTTTGTCCTTGAGAACAAGTAGACAAATATGCTTATATCTGAACCTAGCATACAATTTTAATGCTGTTTTTTTTTCTTTTCAAGAAAATACTTCTTTGTTGACCAACACTAGCCATTCTATTTTGTATCCTACGTCACAGTATAATGAAGCTGAATCTAAGATATCACTTATATTTCACTACTGTGAATTTAGTCCCCAGAACTACTCAAAAGGCTTCATGTGTGTTTTCAGTGTCAAATGAAATTCCACCAAAAGATAAATTTAAGCTAGTCTGTTTGTAGAAAGAGATAATAATAATTGTTACATCTTTGATGGGGAAGATACCTAGCTAAACCTATACAGCGCAGTTAACATAGGGGATGAAGAAAAGAGGTGAATAAAGCAGCTTCCAAAAACTATATTAAAGAAACAGCATTTTGATTGTATTATTTTTCCTTACTTTATCTAGATTAATTGCCTATACTGTCCAACTCACCAATTTTTTTTCTAATTTTCTGTTACTTTCCCTGTGAAAACACAATCTGTATGTCAAAGGGCAAGCAAAAACATTTATTGACTTTTTATTTTCAGTCTCCTAATTCATATTCATTATTAAACAGTTGTGTGATTCATAGTAGAAGCATTTAATTAAATTTTAGTGAAATAGTCCTTCTTAGAGCCAGGAAAATTCCTTATTCCAGAAATCAAAAGATGATTTCCTCTAACATCAAAATGAATTACTAAGCAACTTCGAACCAAGATAAAATAGTCTACCATTAAGGATCCTTTTGAAATACAGGTGTTCCCTCTGCCCATTTTAACAAGGCTTATTTAATTAAAACGTCGAAAAATTAGTAAACTAATATAGACTATAAAATAATTAGCTACAAATAAATAGCTCCAAATATAAACAGGTGTTTGAAAATTATATATACGCAGTGTAGTTTCTTGATGTAAATGCTAACACTACTTTGATTATATAAGATCATAAAAGCTAGAGAAAGAAACACTTATTAAGGAAACAAATAATTCTCCTTTATACTATTCTCTACATTAGCTCATCTGTTTATTAATAGGAGAAGGAAAGTAATTCTTTGCCAGTAGGTGGTGCTTTTGTATAAAACATCACTCAAAGATAAACTCATTTCTGACTAATTTTATATCTCTATACATCTTGAGTTTGTAATTGCATCTCCCAAAAAGCCAGCCCCAAGTTACTCCACTTTTTTTTCTGAAATATATGCTCTTTCCCTCACTGCTCATAACGACATCGTTAGTGCCAACTAATTCTCTCCCCTGGAAAGCAGCGTAATTACATATATTAGTAAGCAGGCTGGCTTTCCTTTGTTTAAAATGGGTGTGTCTGTATAGATAATTCTTTACTGGGATTCTTTCTCAGTAAAAGAGAGTACCATACTCTCTTGACAATAACGGTCAAGTAATGCTGACTCTGGCTGTGGAAATCAGTGTAATTAGAGTGTAAGAAGAGTAAAAGCATCTTAAAATTGATGCCAGCAATGTTACTATGGTTTATCCTGATCAAAGTCATTGTGATTGCTGATCTACACTTAAGGGCTTCATGCTTTTTTCTCTAGAATTCCAAGTATCTAAATTCTCTCAGATTTTGGAAGGAGGACAAGTTATTCTCTTTGGGAATATATGAGGATTAAGGATTATAAACACAGTAAAATCACACTACATCCTTCTTGTCAGCAACGCCAGGTTTATCAACTAAATACCTATGGTAAATAAGAGGAGTGATAGCCTAAGTACCCCCTCAGGGAGTGACTAACATTAATACAATTGAGGTAATTGTGGAAAATAAAGAGTATTTGCATCTCACTTAACTGCAAAAGGAGGAAGAAAGTCAAATTACTTAACAATTTTAATGGAGTAGAAGGTCTGTTTTAAAAATCAACATTTAAACTTTCTGCAGATCATTTTCAATTTCCCTCCCCCTGTCCCTTTTTTCCATTCTCCCACGCTTTTTACCAGATATAGTTATTGTGTAGCATTTGAGTTCTAGTCATTTAAAATTTGAAGTCCCTTCACTTTCTCTGAAGACTGTATACTTATTAATTGGAGGGAAAATATTTATATCGATAATAAACTTTTAAAAATAATATTCAAACACAAGCGTTAGTAAATCAAAGAATTCTATTTCCAGAGTTAAACACTGTATCTAAAGGCTTAGAAATTTAATTTTGGAACTAGTCTAGGTATAGATTCCATGAACACAGAAAATGCTTTTTCCATTGTGTCTTAAACCTTTCTGAAATGGTAACCTATATGTTTAGGGATCCTGTCAAAGACTGGAAATATGATTCATAAGGCCTGGACCAGTTAAATACCGTAATTGCTACCGGGCAAATCAACAAAGGCATCCTAAATCGCTCCAAGAAGGCGATGCCCCTAAGTGCTTCCAAGCACATTCTCTTCACTCTGGGCATGCTCTGGTGTCTATGCGAGTCTTTAAGCTGATGTTTGATGTAATTGTGAGTTCCTGGGGCCTCCAGGCCTCCTTCATCTGTAACTGGGTTTCCTTTCCTCCTACAGAGCTTGCACTAGCACTCATTTATCTCAGAGTTCAAATCTCTCCCTGCCTTCTACTCAAAGCCTCAACATCAAGTCAGAACCTGTTTCTCCTCCTAGAGACCGTACCACCACCCCTTCGAGATACCCACAACACACGCGCCACGAGGCGGGGAGATCTCCTGTTGACAGCTTGAGCAGCTGTAGCAGTTCGTACGACGGGAGCGACCGAGAGGATCACCGGAACGAATTCCACTCCCCCATTGGACTCACCAGACCTTCGCCGGACGAAAGGGAAAGTCCCTCAGTCAAGCGCATGCGACTTTCTGAAGGATGGGCAACATGATCAGATTATTACTTAATAGTTTTTTTTTTTTTTTTTCTTGCAGTGTGTGTGTGTGCTATACCTTAATGGGGAAGGGGGGTCGATATGCATTATATGTGCCGTGTGTGGAAAAAAAAAAAAAGTCAGGTACTCTGTTTTGTAAAAGTACTTTTAAATTGCCTCAGTGATACAGTATAAAGATAAACAGAAATGCTGAGATAAGCTTAGCACTTGAGTTGTACAACAGAACACTTGTACAAAATAGATTTTAAGGCTAACTTCTTTTCACTGTTGTGCTCCTTTGCAAAATGTATGTTACAATAGATAGTGTCATGTTGCAGGTTCAACGTTATTTACATGTAAATAGACAAAAGGAAACATTTGCCAAAAGCGGCAGATCTTTACTGAAAGAGAGAGCAGCTGTTATGCAACATATAGAAAAATGTATAGATGCTTGGACAGACCCGGTAATGGGTGGCCATTGGTAAATGTTAGGAACACGCCAGGTCACCTGACATCCCAAGAATGCTCACAAACCTGCAAGCATATCATTGGCGTATGGCACTCATTAAAAAGGATCAAAAACCATTAAACGAGGACCATACCTATTAAAAAAAAAAAAATGTGGCGTTGGAGGGCTAACGTATTTAATTAAATAAATAAATAAATCTGGGTCTGCATCTCTTATTAAATAAAAATATAAAAATATGTACATTACATTTTGCTTATTTTCATATAAAAGGTAAGACAGAGTTTGCAAAGCATTTGTGGCTTTTTGTAGTTTACTTAAGCCAAAATGTGTTTTTTTCCCCTTGATAGCTTCGCTAATATTTTAAACAGTCCTGTAAAAAACCAAAAAGGACTTTTTGTATAGAAAGCACTACCCTAAGCCATGAAGAACTCCATGCTTTGCTAACCAAGATAACTGTTTTCTCTTTGTAGAAGTTTTGTTTTTGAAATGTGTATTTCTAATTATATAAAATATTAAGAATCTTTTAAAAAAAATCTGTGAAATTAACATGCTTGTGTATAGCTTTCTAATATATATAATATTATGGTAATAGCAGAAGTTTTGTTATCTTAATAGCGGGAGGGGGGTATATTTGTGCAGTTGCACATTTGAGTAACTATTTTCTTTCTGTTTTCTTTTACTCTGCGTACATTTTATAAGTTTAAGGTCAGCTGTCACAAGGATAGCCTGTGGGGTCAGAACATATCACATTGCAACACCCTAAATTGTTTTTAACGCATTAGCAATCTATTGGGTCAACTGACATCCATTGTATATACTAGTTTCTTTCATGCTATTTTTATTTTGTTTTTTTTTTTTTTTGCATTTTTATCAAATGCAGGGCCCCTTTCTGATCTCACCATTTCACCATGCATCTTGGAATTCAGTAAGTGCATATCCTAACTTGCCCATATTCTAAATCATCTGGTTGGTTTTCAGCCTAGAATTTGATATGCTTTTTAGAAATATGCCCAGAATAGAGAAGCTATGTTGGGGCACACGTCCTGCAAATATGGCCCTAGAAACAAGTGATATGGAATTTACTTGGTGAATAAGTTATAAATTCCCACAGAAGAAAAATGTGAAAGACTGGGTGCTAGACAAGAAGGAAACAGGTAAAAGGGATAGTTGCTTTGTTATCCGTTTTTAATTATTTTAACTGACCCTTGACAATCTTGTCAGCAATATAGGACTGTTGAACAATCCCGGTGTGTCAGGACCCCCAAATGTCACTTCTGCATAAAGCATGTATGTCATCTATTTTTTCTTCAATAAAGAGATTTAATAGCCATTTCAAGAAATCCCATAAAGAACCTCTCTATGTCCCTTTTTTTTAATTTAAAAAAATGACTCTTGTCTAATATTTGTCTATAAGGGATTAATTTTCAGACCCTTTAATAAGTGAGTGCCATAAAAAGTCAATATATATTGTTTAAAAGATATTTCAGTCTAGGAAAGATTTTCCTTCTCTTGGAATGTGAAGATCTGTCGATTCATCTCCAATCATATGCATTGACATACACAGCAAAGAAGATATAGACAGTAATATCAACACTGCTATGTCATGTGTAGGACATTTCTTATCCATTTTTTTCTCTTTTACTTGCATAGTTGCTATGTGTTTCTCATTGTAAAAGGCTGCCGCTGGGTGGCAGAAGCCAAGAGACCTTATTAACTAGGCTATATTTTTCTTAACTTGATCTGAAATCCACAATTTGACCACAATGCACCTTTGGTTGTATCCATATAGGATGCTAGCCTGCCTTGTACTAATGTTTTATATACTAAAAAAAAAATAAAAAAAAATCTATCAACCATTTCATTTATATCCCACTACTCAAGGTATCCATGGAACATGAAAGAATAACATTTATGTAGAGGAAAAACAAAATCATCCCTGAAAATGTACACACTCATACACACACACACACACACACACACGCACACACACACACACAGAGGAAAAAAATAAGAAAATAATTTTCCTCACCATAGACTTGATCCCATCCTTACAACCCATCCTTCTAACTTGATGTGTATAAAATATGCAAACATGTCACGAATGTTCTTTGTCATTTCAAAAATTCTTTAGTATATCAATATCAGTAGATACCAGTGGGTGGGAAAGGGTCATTATATGAAAATATGAAGAAATAGCCATATTAGTTTTTTTACCTGCAATTTGCCTCAGCAACAAAGAAAAAGTGAATTTTTAATGCTGAAGATAAAGTAAGCTGAAGTACCAGCAGAAGCCTTGGCTATTTATAGCAGTTCTGACAATAGTTTTATAAGAACATGAAGAGAACAGAATCACTTGAAAATGGATGCCAGTCATCTCTTGTTCCCACTACTGAATTCTTATAAAGTGGTGGCAAGATAGCAAAGGGATAACATGAGAATTTTTAAAAGATGATTTAATGAGAAGAAGCACAATTTTGATTGTGATGAGTCACTTTCTGTAAACAATCTTGGTCTATCTTTACTCTTATACCTTATCTGTAATTTACCATTTATTGTATTTGCAAAGCTAGTATGGTTTTTAATCACAGTAAATCCTTTGTATTCTGGACTTTAGGGCAGAGCCCTGAGGGAGTATTATTTTACATTACCCGTCCTAGAGTAACATTGTAGGCAACATTCTTCATTGCAAGTAAAAGAACCATAAGTGGCATTTTACACGGCTGCAAGTATTATTATGTCTAATCCTATTTTAAAAGATTTTCGGTAATATTAAGCTTGAATACTGGTAACAGTGATGCAATATACGTTAGCTGCACAACCTGTATATTGTATGCATTGGTGCGCGGAGGCTGTTTATTTCAACCTTTTTAAAAATTGTGTTTTTTAGTAAAATGGCTTATTTTTTCCCAAAGGTGGAATTTAGCATTTTGTAATGATGAATATAAAAATATCTGTCATCCTCAGATCATTTAAACGTTAACTAAAGTGAAAATGAAAAAACAAAATTCCAAGACACTTTTTAAAAGAATGTCTGCCCTCTCACACTTTTCTGTATTTGTTTTTCTTACATACCCATCTTTTAACTTAGAGATAGCATTTTTTTTTTGCCCTCTTTATTTTGCTGTTTATTTTTCCAGAGAGTAAATGCTTTGTAGTTCTTTCTTTAAAAAACATTTTTTTAAAAGAAGAAGCCACTTGAACCCTCAATAAAGGCTGTTGCCTAAGCATGGCATACTTCATCTGTTCTTGTTTGTGCCATCTGCCGTGATGTCGTCACTTTTATGGCGTTAATTTCCTGCCACTACAGATCTTTTGAAGATTGCTGGAATACTGGTGTCTGTTAGAATGCTTCAGACTACAGATGTAATTAAAGGCTTTTCTTAATATGTTTTAACCAAAGATGTGGAGCAATCCAAGCCACATATCTTCTACATCAAATTTGTCCATTTTGGTTATTTTCATAATCTGGTATTGCATTTTGCCTTCCCTGTTCATACCTCAAATTGATTCATACCTCAGTTTAATTCAGAGAGGTCAGTTAAGTGACGGATTCTGTTGTGGTTTGAATGCAGTACCAGTGTTCTCTTTGAGCAAAGTAGACCTGGGTCACTGTAGGCATAGGACTTGGATTGCTTCAGATGGTTTGCTGTATCATTTTTCTTCTTTTTCTTTTTCTGGGGACTTGTTTCCATTAAATGACAGTAATTAAAATCGCTTGTAAATGAGGGCATACAAGCATTTGCAACAAATATTCAAATAGAGGCTCACAGCGGCATAAGCTGGACTTTGTCGCCACTAGATGACAAGATGTTATAACTAAGTTAAACCACATCTGTGTATCTCAAGGGACTTAATTCAGCTGTCTGTAGTGAATAAAAGTGGGAAATTTTCAAAAGTTTCTCCTGCTGGAAATAAGGTATAATTTGTATTTTGCAGACAATTCAGTAAAGTTACTGGCTTTCTTAGTGATGCAGTGTCCGTGGTGCATTTTTTTTTTTAATTAATGTTTTGCTGTTTAAATTTATTCCATTTTATTGCGTTTTTTTTTTTTAAAAAAAGCAGCTTATGCCACAAGCACAAATGAGCTTTCTCAGTTTTCAACTCAAAATATTATACGAAAAGATGGATATCTGTGTTTGTGTGGGAGGGGTGTGAATTGGATAACAGTGCTTAGGGTATTACAGTATTTAGCCAGTGGGGGAAGTTTAAGGTTCTTATTGAATGGTTCAACTTCTTACCAAAGAAGTTCCATGAAGATCTTTGATAACCTGTTTAAATGTACAGAATTTTCCAAAAGTCACTGTAGAAAGCAGTACCATAAAATAAGTCATTTTTAACTGAAATCTGTAGAAAGTGTTTTCAAAAGCGCTTCCTTTTTTCTTCATCAAAATAATTTCTAAAGGTAGAAAACATAGGCTTATGTATAAATATTTGAGTAAATTAGTGAATTCATACATTTCTAGAGACTACCAAATATATCTATTATTAACATTCAATAATCTCTAAAGGAGACTATCCTTTAAAAGATCGAAATAAAGATTAATTTAAAAACTGAAAAGGAAAACAGTTTTAGACAGCACCAGTTAGCCAGCTGGAGAGCCTGGACTTTTGCATTGGTAGTGAGATCTTCTCCAAAAAGAACGCAGTTCAGGGAAATGTTGCATATGGCTTCAAAATAGCAGTGCTTTTTGCTTTGTTCTCTTGTATTCATTTTCAGCAAACATTTATTAAGCAATTGTCTTGTAACTCGTGGTGATTCCAGGATAAATGAAGATGCAGCCCTTTCTCTTAGGAAACTTATAAACTAATAGGAGATAAAAAGCATTCTCAGGGAAGTCTACAAAGTACTACCAGGGAGTCACTTTGGTCATTCTAGGAGCAGAGCAGAGGCTGAGAGTATAGACACTTCCTAATCCACCCAACAGAGACAGCCTTTGACTTGATTTTGAAGGTGGGCAGGATTGAGAAAGGCCTAGAAGGGGATGAGTTCAAGGCTGTTCGTGGGCATGTGACCCCTGCAAGTCACACATGGCCCTACCCTGTGTTTGGTTTAATGTTGTGCTATCATTATGCTGAAATTCTTAATAATTTTATGTTTGAGTTTGAATCCTGTAAGTAAAGTCCAATAGGACAATAGTCATGTGCCTGAGCAGAGGAGATACACAGGAAAAAGTGAAAGGTTTTATATTTTAGTACCTTTAGCAGAGGGAAACTTGTGTTTTACTTTTTCAACAAGGACTTCCACATTTTCATTTTGCACTGGGCCCTGGAGTTATGACACCATCCCTGGATGAAGGCATTCTACAAGGAAGAAATAGCAGATACAAAGGTATAGAGATGGGAAAGCAAGAGATAAACTTGCAGGAATTGTGGGCCTTTCTGTTTAGGTAAAGTATAGCCATGTGTAGGAGAGCAGTAAGAGACAAGATTGGAAGAGTTAGTTTGCCTCTGATTATATAATCGCAAATTTAAAAGTCTTAGGTTGAAAGATTTAGGAGAGAGAAAATTGTCAGAATTCAGTAAATGGTTAGATTAATGGTAGGAGTGGTGATAGTTAAGGAATTGTTCAAGTTTACAATTTTAGGCTTAAATGATTCGGATGCAAGTAATGTCCACATTGGAAACTGAGAGGTCACTGCTTTGTGAGGAGGCTAGTCACTTCAGTTTTCAGTATGTTGAGTTTGACTTACATTCAGTTAGAATAAACTCAGAATATCGGTTAATGCTGGCCTGATTTGGATGTGTAGGGTTTTTAAAATTTCAATTATGTTTGGAAGTCTGGATTAAATAGAGTTACTGAATTTGGCAAAGGAACCCTATTCAGAACAGAGCATCTGAATTTTCATCTTGTGATTTGAGAAAACCCTTTTTCCATTTTGTTTGCATATTTCTATGGCATCGTTCCTATGTGTTATCCTTGCAGATTGACTTCTAAACAAGATCCAGTGATGAAGGAGGAAAGCCAACTTCACTTCCCTACTGTGTATATCCCTTGGATTCCAACTGTCCTATTGCCTGAGAGCAAATATCACCATCACCAAAAATGAGGCCGCTCTTTAACCTCTCCTGTCACAAGCCCAGCCTCCTTCCTGGGAACGTATCTCAAGAGTTAGAGTTAGGAAAACCTGGGGAAATGGTCGTTGTTTCTGGCCTTAAATGGTTTCTGTTCTTACCAATAACCTTGGCTGCCAAATTGTCAGCTCTATCGCTGGATTGCTTCAGACTGGAGGAAGAACCTCCAGCCTTCACATACCCATTTTTAGTACCCAACTTCTGGAAAGCATACTCACCCTTTGAATCTGGCAACTCAGTACAAGGGCCAGAATGAAATTGGAGGAAACATGAACTA